AACTCGCAAGGTACGGATTCAGGTAACACATCCCTGAATTCGATCAAATCCTTGTACAACGGATATGCCTGAAGCGACTCCCAGGATTGAGACATGTATCGCTCAATCCGAGTCTTCTCATCGAGGACACTTTCGTCCATTGATGAGCTGCTGAGAACCCGTTCGTTCTCAGCAAATACTGTTGCCGACCGAATGTCGGTCACATACTCATCCTCTGTGACGAGTATGCAGATCTGCTTGACTTTGCCACTACGCAGATCACGCAAGAACCGTTTCGGTTCTAGCGTTGGCAACTGAGTTATCTCCGAAGTTGACTTCGGAGGCACAATCAGATCAAGCGTATAAGCGCCTACGCTTGATCCGTCATTAACCAAGACGTTCAACGTCTCGTTTTCTTCCTGGGAACTTGCTTCCACAGGTTGCTGAGGGCCTGATCCCTCAGCAAGTGACTCTTGAGGAATTCCTTCCTCAAGTACGTGGGGACTTATTCCCTCGACGTCTTCCGACTGTGGCTGTGTAACCACAGTCAGGCACCGATCCTCTACGGTCGACTCTCCAGTCGACATAGGATTTTCATGTTGCCCTCTGGAGGCAACAGGTTTTTTACTTCTAAGATGCTGCCCGCTAGACATGCATCCATGTCCCTGTCCACTCGACTTATTCGAGTGGTGGACCTTCGGCGCAGCCTGTACTTCTGTACAGCAGCCGGGAGCTTGCTCCACAGTGTAGTGATCAACTACACTGTGATCTTGTGCAGTCGTGCTAACGACCGTACCGCAAGTGAGGCCATCGCACTCACTCGCAGAACATCCACACGCTTGTGGACGCTCCAAGATGTTCATCAGATGGCCATCTGATGAACAAGCGGCAGGCATCTTCACGGATCGATGCTGCCAGCTCACCCTTGGCTCGTACTTTCTGAGCCAAGGTAATCCCAGGATGACATCAAATTTGTCATCCAGATCTAGTACGATGAAGTCATCATCGTACTGTTCGCCCTCTAACGTGTAGTGGATTCCTACTACACGTTTCTCAACGGTTATCGATGCGCCTGTTGCAAGGCGCACCGTCATCCTTGTGAGGGGGAATGTCGCGCTCAACGAACTTGAGCCTACGACCCTCTAGTGACTGGCGTCGAACAAAGTTGTTCGACGCCCCACAGTCTACTAGGGCACGAAGCGACAAATCATTTGTCGCTTCCAACTTCAAGGTGATGAGCAAAACGTCATCACCAGGTGCAGAGACACACAATGATTGTGTATCTGGAGCAACTTTCGTCAAGAGATTTGCGAATTCTCTTGAGGTTGCTGGATCAGTAGGGCGCTCCGCTCCTACTGACCACGACCATTTTTTGATGGTCCGTCTCGCTGTTGCGAAGCCGCAACAGCGCTGGACCCACGCCCATTGACCTTTCTGGCAAATGGTCGTCCATTTTGCTCAGTACTGTTTGGTACTGGGCGTGGAGCACTACACTCGTATGCGTAGTGCTTTAACTTCTGACAGCGATTGCACCTCTGCAATCGCTTGTTGTTCGAAGAGCGAGGTCTCTCGCTCTCAACATAGCAGAGGTCCATTGGTTCTGGACCTCCGATCTCTTGTCGTCTCGGTGGACGATAATAGTTTGAGCTAGCATGAACCTGTCTCATGCTAAAGTCTTCCTGTTCCGCGGCTGATATCGCATCTTCCAGCGTATTCAGCTCAAGGCGGAACAGGTGGCTCCTGACGGGCACCTCTGCGAGCCCTTGCATGAACACCGTAATCAACGTGTGTTCATGGACTGGGTTAGCAGTTATACTACTCGCTAGGAGTCGTATATGTTGTGCGTAAGCGTGCACATCACGCTTACCCTGCTTGAGTTTCAGGAGCTCTGAACGAGACCTGAACTCAGCCCGTGGCGGCTCAAACGTTTGTCTGAGCCGGGACTTGAAGTCATCTAGCGACCTAAACACATTTGGGTCGCTACTCTCGAGTCCCAGGGACCAAGTTTTGGCACGCCCTGCCAAGTGGGTCTGAGCAAATGTGAGTTTCATTTGCTCATCTTCGACGCGACGAGCCCTTAAGGCTCTGTCGAGTTCGACAAACCACAGTAACAGGGAGTCCTCCGGGACTCCACTGTACTTGGAAATGTCGACTTTCATGACTTCGGGACGACGCGCATGCGCGTCGTCCCGCCCACAGCAGCATGGAATTGCTGCTGTCTCAACAGCTCCGTCTATTGAGCACCGAGTTCTCTCAACTGCTCGGCCTGTTGAGAGCCTTGCTGGTGAAGCAAGGCTACTTTCTCCCTCTCGATGGCAAGTTCATTCTGAATGAACTTGGCGATAGCGGCATGTTGTTGGTCTCTGTCTAGAGACTCCAACATGGCGCTATCGACGACTTCGCCTACGGTAGAACTCATTCGTTCTACCGCACCCCATTCGATGTCAGTCAAATGGGTAAACCCTTCACGCGTGGCGTGAAAGGTATCTTCTTCATCCAACATGTTCATGTTGGATGTTGTGGTCCTTGGAAGGACTACAAAGTGCTACCAGGTGTAACGGGGCACACCCTTGCGTGAACTTAACGCAAGGGTATCGGTGCCCCGACAGACGTACACAAGGCAAGCGAGGAAGCGTAGGTAAGGTAAAAGCAGAACTGTTATATTAATATAATTAAGTCTTTTAACTACTGTCTCTCTGTTTGACTTAACTTAATTATGCTAATATACTTGAGTGTATGGTGACGTCTCGTCACCACTCATTGTGCGCGTCTTGCGGCGATTGGTGGGTTGATATCATCAAGATATCAACCAATGAACAGACTCTTTGGTCGACCCTTCAATATCACCACTTTGGTGATATTGTTTAAAGAATATTCAACTTCATATTCTTTATTGTCACTTTCCTTAAAGTGAAAATTTCATGTAACGGGCTGCACCGTTACACTACGGCCGCGGTCAGCTTATCAAGTGCAACCTTTTGGGCCTCGTTGAGGGGTGTGGATTGCTCCATGCTCACAGACGGTCAGTCGTAACGACTCAGCCGTAGATTGACTACGAGTGCTACCACGTGTAGCGGAGCGACACACAGCGCCTTAAGTCAGAGGGAGACTTAACGCTCTTACGAGCAACTTAAGTTCGAGAAATCGACTCCTGAGAGTCTCACAAGCTCAAGAGCTTACGGTCCCTTATCCAAAAGGGACCAAACGATTCAAAAGAATTACACCACAGAGTGCTCAAGGACAAGCTACCTTTACAGGCTTTGCTTTGTCCTTACGATCAAGACGCCCCGTAGGGCACGTGTCTCTTACTGATCAAAAGGGGAACTGAACTTTATTTCTTCTTTTAACCTAAAAGAACACCTTAGAACAACGTAATTAACCTGTCCTAAATAAAACATCTTAAAAGATCTCGCAATCAATGGTTGACAGACTATCAGTCTTCAACAATTAATACACTTATAGTGTTCTAATATCACTTTACAGGAGACCCCGTATCTTGTGTGCACCACACCTACTGTCGACTATCAGCCGACGTGTAACCCAGTTACACCTATTGTTCACGGCATTCACCGCCATTCCAGACGATGGTTTAAATGACGCGGGTATGTCTTGATGATAGCAATATCCTAACGTCGATTTAACGAAGGCCGCAACGAGTCCATCCGGTATTATGCAGTATTCAGCGAGTTTTGACGAAGGCAGTTAGATAAACAGTCATCCGACATCATACAGCAGTTCTGCACAGTTTCCAGGATGTTTTTTTCATTGACAAGCATAACGCTTTAAAAGACCAAATTGCGATGCGCATTTGGACACATCGGGAAGAGAAAAGGAGAGTAAACTGTAGAAAAGAAGATAGCAAAAGCTGCGGCTACTGTTCAGACCGTTTAGCAGATAGGAAAGCTTGAAGAACTTGATCGACTTCAACGAACGTTGCTGGCTAGGTGCTAGTGAAAACGCCACACTTTCTCGCTACTTGCTGAGTGTTTATGCAGTACAAACACGTTGACAGCTTTATCTACTGTCTGGAAAACAGTGTTGTATTCACTGTGGAGCCCTAGCACGAAATCAACCTGATGCAGTGACTTCTCAGCAGAAACGGTGGCAAGAAAGATAGCACTTGCTTTCAGATCGTGCTTTTTGTCCTTTTAAGATATGATGGACTTTCTGCTACAACAACGATCAGCAAGAGTAAAAAGATTGCTACGACATCGTAGCAGCACATAGCAGGAACAGCAGCAAACATCTGCATCGCTAATGAGGCGCTTTATTCGGATCCACTGGCATCAAAAGTCCATGAGTGCAGCCAGATTCTGCATCACAAAGTGTGAGCTCGTGAGCTTGCGTCGTAAGCGTGACTCGGAGGACAAGGCTGGCTAGATCAGCTGAAGGCAAGGCGCATTGACTACAAGTGATCGTGTTCTAGCCAGCCACGCGGATTGTCATACTCAAGATTGTGCACAACTAAGGTAAATGGTATCGAGCCAAATCAAAGGCACTATTCGATCGACAAAGCCTTCTCCAACGGGCCAATCGAAGTGTCTACCTCTACGACATGCAGTTCGCCACACAAAGGCGCGCATCTCAACTACCTTACGACATCAAAGCAGGCGTTGCTGCAAGCTGCTCGTCAATCACACCCCTGTGCTTCAGTAACTTATCGTCACGTGCCGTTTGCCAACAAGTTCTCGACAGGATCGGGCACGTTGCACGAAACCTCACCATCTCGTGCTCAAGCAGGTCCCACCCACCCACCCACCACGTTCAGTGGGCCAACAGTCGCTTCATAAACACCGAGCGACGGTCACGCTGGACGTGGCACACACCATTCTCTTTCCGTCGTTCTCGTCCATCGTCGTTCGAGCTTCAACCTGATCCTCCCTTTCTGCCACTCTCGCCGCCTTTCCATCCATCAGATCGCCTGCTTTCTCTCACCTCAACGCCGCCGGCCCGCCCCGCGCCGTCCTCGAGCCCCGCAAGCGCTTCGCTCGCCCAGTCGCATCACAAGTGGAAACGCACCAATGCCGACACGCGACAGAGGACGTCAGCACACGGCCGAGTATGCGCAACTGAAAGCGCAGCTCCTGGAGCTGGCCGAAGAGTCCAAGTCCGTTCTATTGGAACTCGGATCGGCGCTGAACCAGCGCTACGGGAAGCGCGCGCCGGACCACCCGACGCAGCAGCTTTTCCGTCGCAAGAACGAGGCGGTCAATCGCCTGAGGGAGTTTATGGCTGCGCCGGGCTTTTATGAGACGGGCGACGGCGTGCAGCACGATACGTACGACGGCCAGCAGCAGCGGGTGATTGAGAGGCTGCAAAAGCAGCTGGCGGACCAAAGCGCTGCGTTCGAAGTCGAACGACAGCGCTTGCAGCAGCAGCAGCAGCTCACGAGCGGTTCTTTGACGACTCAGAGCGAGCTAAATTCGTCATTGGAGAGGATTATGCCGCACCTGCGGGGGCTGCTGCACGCATATGACCGCGAGCACGGACAACACGCCACGAAGACGCGACCACAGACTGTCACAGCAAAGGGTCAGCCTTCGAACCACGAGCTGACGCAGCGTCTACGCGAGATGCAGACGAAGTTTGATGCCGAACGAGCTGATCTCTTGGAACAAGCGAGTGAAGCAGTGAATGCCCAGGTCGATATTAGCCACGAAATTCTGGCGGGGCGGGAAGCGGCGCTCACGTGCCCAATTTCGCTCGATTTGTTTGAGGACCCGGTCGTCACTACGTGTTGTGGGAAGACGTTCTCGTCGGGGGTGTTGCACCAGGCTCTGCGACGCAGTAACTACTGCCCCTTTTGTCGCGCACACAATGTTTCGACCCACACTAATCGTGACATGGCAAATTTGGTCGAGCTCCACCGGGCAGAGCGCTTGGTGCTGGGCTTGCCAGAAAGCGTTGCTACCAGCGCCCCGGCGGCCACCACCGACTTAGTAGCAGAGGAAGCCCAACTCGTACAAGAGATTGAGCACCGCCGTCAAGTGTTGGATTTGATGTCCAGCGAGAATTCCCATGTGGCGCAACTCTTGGAAACTGCCCTCCGAGACCATGACAGAGCTCGACCTCGGTCGGGCATTGACCATCAAACGATTGTGTTCGATTCTTCATACTACGACTCGGACTACTAGTATCCTGTTGGCGAATGAAATTGCGATTGCTGGGTGACTTCGCAGGACCCGGCGCATACGTAGCACACGACAGAGCACTGAAAGACAAAGGCGAACGTTTGAGTGCTATTTGCGCAAAACAAAGACCATGGACCGAGCCTTTTTACCAGAAAACCACTCTTGCTCTGGTATAAAGACCTAAATGCAACTTTCACCCACAAATTAAAGCGCTTTGTTTCTCTTTACAACAGGAGATCACTAACGTGTGGCGTGGCTTTTACAGCTTATGAAATGTCTGACACGTCTGTTAGCACTTGCTCATCTGAAATTGCGTGGTGCATGCTTACTCTAAGTCGAAAATGCTGCAGCGAGGCTGCCCATGAGTAGAGATGTCCGACGACCATCGCCGTGCAAGAAAACAACTCAAATCTGAACAACTTGCTCGAGCGACTAGTCAAATCTCAACGTCCATCGATTGCATAGGTCTAGCGCAAACATGCACGTAAAAACGCAGCACGTAAGTGGGATTGTTATCTTTCGTTATGCATGCTATGCGATTGTGTTGTTCTACCCATTCACAAAGCTGGCCGTCTATCTCAACATTCGGAGTGTGGTCAACAGTGAACAACGTGCTCAATAGTGGCACCGCGTTGAAGATATATTCAATGTGCGCGCCGTAGCAACGAACCGACCGCATCTACACGTTGATGTCATCGACGTTCGCTACCTCGATCAGCGAGGCGTATGCGTTGAGAATATGAGCAATCTCTCCGTCAATGAACTCCTCAACCTGCTCTGGACAGCGTCCAATGAAAAGCGACGGGTCCAGCAGTTCGTCCAAGCGGTCGTGCACGGCTTTAAACAACGGGTCACCAGCGATGCGCTCCAAAAGATCGTTGGCGGCACCCTCTACTTTCACGCGTTTGCCGGCCTCCATTGAATGCGTGCGGATGGCCTCGTGCAGCTCCTGGCGGTCACCACCAGCCTTTACGCAAGCCATCAAGATATTCTCCGTGGCCATGAACGGCAGCTCGGCCTTGATATGCGCCTTAATGACATTGGGCCACACCTGCAGGCCGTCCGAAACGTTGATGATCAGATTCAAAATGACATCCGTCGCAAGGAAGGCTTCTGGCAGCACCATACGACTGTAAAAAACAATTACATAACTGACCGTCAGTAATGCACGATCTGGAAACTGGACTAGGAGACGAAACGTACCGGTTGGCCGAGTCATCAAGCGTGCGCTCAAACCACTGCGCAGCGTGGGTCTGCGCACCATTGTCTGTCAACGAAATGACATAGCGCGCGAGACTGCAGATACGCTCCGAGCGCATCGGGTTGCGCTTGTAGGCCATGGCCGAGGAGCCAATCTGATTCTTTTCGAACGGCTCCTCGATCTCTTTCATATTAGCCAGCAGACGGATATCGCCGGCCATCTTGTATGCCGATTGGGCAATGCCTGAGAGGGTCGACAGCACAAAGTAGTCAATCTTGCGCGTATACGTCTGGCCCGACACAGGGATGACCTTCTTGAATCCCATCTTTTCGGCTACCAGATTGTTCAGTTTTTTAACCTGCATTTCTCGAAAACAACCAGCACAATGTCGTCAGCTTATACTTCTATCATCGAACTTGCCAATGCAGAAGTTCGATCACCCTCACCTTCTCGTGGTCGCCCTCGAACAAGTCGAGGAAGCTGGCCTGAGTGCCTGTCGTGCCCTTAACACCACGCAGAGGCAAACTTTCGATCTGCTCGGTGAGGTGCTGAAAGTCGAGCCACAAGTCCTGCAGCCAGAGTGACGAGCGTTTACCGACGGTCACAAGCTGCGCCGGCTGGAAGTGCGTAAAGCCCATCGCGGGCATGTCCTTGTACTGGAGGCTGAAGTCCGCCAGCACCTTCATGGCCTTGACCATCTTGCGCTGAATGAGCTGTAGACCCTGTTTGATCTGGATGATATCAGCATTGTCCCCGACGTAGCAGCTCGTAGCACCCAGATGAATGATAGGCATCGCTACAGGCGCCACCTTCCCGAACGCGTGCACATGGGCCATCACATCGTGACGGAACTTCTTTTCCATCTCCGCTGCGTATTCGTAGTCAATGTCCGTCAAATGCGCCTTCATGGCGTCCAGCTGCTCCTGCGTGATGGCTAGTCCCAGTTCCTTCTCCGATGTAGCCAGCGCCAGCCACAGTTCACGCCATGTCGAGAACTTGCGGTCGGGTGACCAGATCTCGCTCATCTCCTTGGTGGCATAGCGGCTCACCAAGGGGTGCTCATATCGGTTGTGCTCGGTCATGGGCGTGCGTCAAAGCGTCGATGGCCACTCAACTCGAAAGGCTCTTTTCAAATTCGAATTATGGTGCTCTATTTGTCTTCCTGAGGATTTATTGGTCCCGGAAATTTGACACTTTTGCAAAGCTAAGTGTCCAGGTGCTGGCTAGAGCTGAACACGTAGCGCTACTAGCTCAATCGCCATCAGATTTGATAAGCCCAGTCATGCAGACAATAGGCAATCACGAGAAAAGGAGCCGAGGATGTACGCAAACGTACACTATCGCCAATCACGTAATAAGGGCAGCCAACTAGACGCCGAAAAAGGAGCAAATATGCCCGAGTGCTACACAGCAGGACGTGCGAGACGATTTCCGTGGCGATTTCCGTGCCTGGTATCATGCTGATCTCAATTTATATAAAGCGCTGTAGCGGTTGTCCAAGGAGCCTATTTCACAACGATTGCAGTGATATGCTTGCGAAGCAGTGTTGACATGTTGTTGCTGTCAACACAGCAAAATTTCATGAGCTCGCGGACCCTCGTATTGTCAACATATCAACGGCAAGAACTAATATCAGCGGTAAGAAGCTAGAGTGGTGTGCCTATAGAAAGCAAGGACGCTAGTTCTTGGGATCTGGTGAGCCACCAGTTTTCTGCGAAACAACATTTACTAGTACGCAACCTTGGCAGTCGGAGGCAATGTTCCACTCCACGCTCGTCTTTAAACACACTAAGCGAATAAAGGGAATCGTCATCACAGCATGTGCGGTTCGACAGGTTGCTTCTCCAGACCGTAAATGTGTCTACGATGTCGGAATAAAAGGAGCGTCGAAGCGTATCACTCTTACAGCGATTCTGTCTATTTTATTCTATATGCTTGGCAAGGCCAAAGCGCATCCGGTCGAGTACTGTCGCTAAGCTGATATTTAGCAATAATAGTCGTACACTTGGAGCTGTCGTGGACACCGGTAAGGCGAGAAACCTGTGGTAGGATTTGACATAGCTCGTTTCGCCGTGCACTCAGATTTAGCGAGGTTAGGACAATAAAAGGCCCAAACGAATCGGTTTTGGACGTAAGAATACACCTCTACGCTGCGGCCGTGCTAGTTTGCTCGTACTTTGAGTTGACTGTGGTGCTTACACGTAGTCTCCTGCCCTTTTCGATACGGGCGCTAGGGCTATGCACTACGAGACTGACGAATGTGTGTACTCAATTCGAGCGAAGCTACCGGCTTTGCGAATCGTTCGAGCCAGTCAAGAGGGTGTCAAGTATGTTGCAAAGGTATCAAACCCGCTTATTTCAATCGAGCGCAGGCATCAACCCGGTTTGCTAAGACCCAACGACCGTATTGGTGGTATCGGCAAAGAGCCCTTGTGGTCACAACTGACGACGAACAAGCATTAGCTTGTTCTACAATAATCTCAAGAGGATAGGTGGCGAAGACAAATTGCCAGGACTTCTGAAGATACTTCTTTTGATCATAATTAATAAGTTACCAGGTTCGTTATCAGCGTGTTGAGGACATTGTTAGAGAAGCTTTGCCTTTATTGCATAAAAACACAAGACCACGACTAAGGGCACACCCCACTTTTGCTAGGGGCACACCCCATTTTTGTTACGGGCAAACCCACCCGGTTAAAATGATATAAACGGCTTCACATTTTATAGTGCAAAATAATAATTAATACACGTAGTCACTTACTACTGCTTCCTATCTCCCAACCTTATACGGCAGATCCACTCTTGCGCGAGATTCTATTAATCCATCGTGGCCAGGGCGGTATCTTAACGAGCAATGGCTGCTGGAATATCTACTGTCTTAAACACGTTATCCAAATCCGATGGTACGATGCCGAGTGACCTGTCCATCCACAGTGGCAACGACTCGTTTTTTTCGACGTTTTTTACCGAGACAGGCACGGGCAAACACATACGGCTTGCAGTATGTGTAGAATTTGAGGCTACCGTCTGTGACGAGGTACGTAACAGTACATACCGTTTAATTTCCCAGTTCGGGCGGATCATTTCGGGTAAGAAGATGCAAAAACAAATTGCGCATGAAGTATTTCATCAACATGCTGGAATTTCGTCGCTTCCTTTCACCGTCACTGAGATTATGACAGTTCTATAGATCTCGCCACGATCGCACTTGTAATAGACCAGTTGCAGACCCCGCTTCGTTTTCTTTGATCTGGCGACGATGATGGCATACCCTTGATAGCAGCAAAGCCGTTTAAGGTTGTTTCCATTTCGTTCCTGGAAAGAAAGCTGGTTTCATTGAGAGCGGCAGGTGGAGGTTGAAGCTATTCCAGCGACGGTTGTCCCTCTCTTGGGCTTTCGTAAGCCAATTTGGGAGCTCAGCTGGTGTTTGTTTCATTATCCGGTGTTTCCAGTCGTATTGTATAAGTATGAGGGGACATAGGCGCAATCGCGCGGCCAAGACCGGTGTTTAGGACTGGTTATTTCTCTATTGAAGTAGATGGATTTCACGTCCTTAACCGCCAGATCCCTAGGCCAAACACTATCAGCAGTTTGATTAAGTGCTTCTATATACAATTGTACTGTGGTGTACACACACATTATTCTGCACTACAAAATGTGAAGTCCTTTTTATCATTATAGGCGGGCGGGTGTGCCCGTAGCAAAAATGGGGTGTGCCCCTAGTCGTGGCCTAAATACAATGACCACGCTACGTTTACATCAGGTGTCTAGCACATCAAAATGCCTATCACTGCAGGACCAATCGAATTAATTATTTCGATGTTCCGACGAGGAGATTGTCGACAAAGCAAACACACGTGATCTTTATATCGATGGATATTGACCCTGAGGATGTGTCGCGGTGCACTGATGACTACGTACTGACTCAAGTACGTGGCTGCCCTTTACTGACAAAAGTTGGTAATATTGCCCTGCTAACTCGCGTGCATATACGCACAGGAAGTTCTTTCCACTAAATGAAAACGCTTAGTAGTAGACATAAAAGTTTAACTGTAATTGAAATTACTTTCGCCCTCCACATTATGAATCGGTCTTAACTGGACTATATGAATAAGGTAATGATTATGTCACCCCCCATCCTTACTATTTGCACCCCCCGGAACCAAAACAGGGTGCCTTCCATTTTTTATAACACAGTGCGATGCACAAGGTCACACGCCACGTATTTTTGTTGTATACTAAGATGATCTAGCGTACAGTTTTATCATACGTCTATTGGGGAGATGAGCTTTGGGATAATGCGTGTTTAATTGGCGAACGACAATTTATCACGGATGGTTGAGACACCAAGGTTGCAGTTGCGTGAGCTTCTAAATACGGAGATCTAGAAGCTTATATATATACATGTTTGCAGTACTACAGCAAGTAGGTGAGATCAACAGAGAAATATAAACGACAATATACTTTTATATTTCGTGCTGCAGAAGACAGGCGGGTATCTAAGTGTTATACACTGTACGTCTTGTCTAAAAGATGTATTATACTCTCGGTTAGATCTGACAACAATGAAAATGTTCTCCTATAAGGTCAAGCGGATGACGAACACTCCTAGGTTGTCCGGAAGATGGATGCTAGAGATGTAGAATTCGCGAACGACAGTTGCGCACGAGCGTGATCTCAAGCGGCGCTACACGACTGTGCAGAATTTTTTTAGTGCGTCATACGAACGTTTTACAGTGCCGTGGTTGCGTACTAATTGGATCACATGCTGGTACATTATCTAACTGCTTACTTCAATAAAGGGATAAAGACGAAGAATAACAAGAATAGCAAAAACGTGTCGTATAATGCAATACCGACCTATATCAGCTCTACGCTAATCGGAAAAAAAGCAGACTGCGAACATGCTGATTTATCTTACAGTACGACCCGCAGGTGCGCTTCCGTTTTGCTTTGTTGTTTTCTTGTTTTCTTGGTGTGTTTGTAACCCTGCAGTTGAAGATACATAGACCACGATGCTCTGTCCGCCATAACCAATAAGTGATGCTTTATTACTGTGGCCACGCCTCTAACCGATTCGGCGATCGTTGTACGTTACTGAGTATCTCCTACACCCTTGCAAAATTGGTGCACGAGCGCTTGTTGTGCCCATATCGTCCGCAGGTACTGCACTTCCGAGTCAAGATAGAAGACCCCTCGCTATACTCGAACGCAGACGGGTCTCGCAGCTGCTTTTGTCGGTTTTTGCTCCAGATGGTCTTCCATTTGGTTTTGTTTCGATTGGATCTCTTTTCGACACGCTTGGACCCGTCAATATTTTATCAGTGATGTGGGCTCGAATAGCAATTTTCTAATGGGTTGGTGCTTAGTCATATACTTGAAACAGATGTGGTACCAAGTCATCAATTCGAACGTTTCTTTTCACATCTCATGCAGCAGAAGCAGGAGTAAACATTTTTAACCACCAATGCGAGTCGAAATCTTTTAGTGTGAAGTGTGCATCAGCGCTGATTTCTTTTAGAGCAGAGTGCTTGCACGGTAGGCCGATAGTCAATCGGAACTTATAATCGCATTGATAGGTGGATGCATGGTGTTCGTGGACGAGGGTTAGCGCATAAGATGAAACCTTATACACAACCTGGGTGTATATGGGCGCTGCTGCGAATGTTGGTCGTTTCATGAGATCATCAGCGTGCATCTTGTTCAGCTCCAATAATTTGGTGCTCAATTGCCAAGTGGAGACTTTGAAACACTGTGAGAAGATCACTAACCGACGATCGCAAAAAGCGCTTCAGGTACGAATGTACTGACCCAGCTCTGGATGTAGTGGAACAGCCAAGGTGGAAGACGTCTCCGAACTACGCCTTGAAAATTTCTTTGTGCTTGACCCACGTTCTATCCAGGTAGCGTGTAACGAAACGGAAATGAAGGTACTTGGTCTGAAATTCGTTTCATTGTGCTTGAAAACTTCGACACTTGATGCATAGCACAGAGCGCTCTAGTCTGCGATCATCTCTTCCCATTTATCGCCATTCGCGAAGTGAACTTTGCACCTGGAAACAACATTTTTATTTATGTGCCAGCGGCACAGCGATATTGTCGCATTCGGAAATACTTACTGCTCAGCGTTTGAGAGAGAGCAGAATCGTTGTCGGTGAATAGAGTTCACGGAATTTCGTCATTGCTTCGACTCTTAAGCACCTTCTTAAGAGCGATTAAAGCCCATTCGTAGTTCTTCTCGTCCTTCCTTGGCATAAATGTTGTGCAAATGAGGATGACTTGCCAAACGGGGTGACGCCGACACAATTGAGCATGGGCATCTTGAACTTGTTTGTCTTGTACGTGCAGCCTAGTACGATAACGTCACAGAACTCTGCAGAAAGAGCGATGGATTGAGGATTTGCAAACGTCAAGCGGCAGATTCGACCCTTTACTTCGAAACTAAGATCATAGCAGTAGTTTTTTGCTTGCAGCTCTTCGGACAGCGCTCAAATCGGCATACGTCCATTCAAGTGCTCTCTGCGCCCCTTCTGTTTGTCATTATAGATGTCCCTGCTTACTCTGCAGAAGTCCGAATCTCCTGTCTGATGAATGCAAGTTGCTCTTTGGACGCACACCTGCTCTCTCTAGTCGAATGCGCTTGCTTTGTTGCTCAATAGTTAGCTGTCTAGCGCGAGAATCTATGTCGAGGTTTGTGGGCATGTCATGGTTGTGCGCTCCTTCATGTCGAGTCACCTACCACATCTTGTCAACGCCGATCTGTCGCGCTATGAGTCGGTACTCGCATCCGGTACGTTTTTTTGTCTTTCGCGCGACAGCAGTAGACTCGTATGATCCCGATTGGTCGCACACAACAATCGATTTACCTCTTCATAGTCGGACTTGAAGATAGAAAGTGAAAATTTAAGCTTGCGCGCTTATAATTGGAGAGCCGTGAACATCTCCTTTGCTGAAGGATACTTGACTTCGAAGAACCCATCGATTTTCATCAAATAGCATGCAGTTCCTTATGGTAGCTGTGAAGTTATAAAGTAAAAGGTAGTGCGTAGTACCAATTGATATAGTTGCCATTATTGCTTCCGTAAAAGTTGTAAAATACACCCTGTTTTGGTTCCAGGGGGTAAAAATGGTAAACATGGGGGGTGAAAATATCATTGCCTTATTAATATACAATCATGTAGGATGACGTCTACTCACCACCCATTGCGCGCGTGAAGCAGCGATTGGTGGATTGATATATTGGCTATATTAACCAATGAACATACGCATGGGTCACAGCAACAATATCACTGAACCAGTAATATTGTAATGATAATATTGGACTTTGTAATTTATATTGTCATTATTGTTATTAATGATACTATTATGTGACAGGTTCACCTCGTTATAATGCTGGCTTTAAAAAGGGTCAAATGACATCAATCAATCAGAGATTTAGAATTTAGTCAAATGTCTGGGGTGGAGACTCATACTTAGGAAAGCTGAAGACCCGCTAGCGGCTTTCCACTCATTGAAGAAATCAATTTATTAATGTATGAGCTTTCTCTATACACGAGGCAACATCCAAGGTAATTTCGTAAGCGTCATCAGATCAGTCCCATACAAGTCAGATCGTCCTGTATGACACAAATGTATTAGTCATTGATGAAACTACACGTTCAACACTCAAAGAGACAATGTACATTTTCGCACAGCGCCGAACCAATGCCACATCCGATATCTCCACATAAATGATCGTGTCTGCGTCTTCGTTTTGAAGCGGCACAACGACGGAGGCGACGTCGACACATAAACGACACAAGTGAAAGCTAGAAAAAAAACGAAGACTGTATACACTTTTCGATTTTACGCACTAGAGTCATGCCAGCGAATTGCAACTGGAATGGAGTCGACACTTCGTCTACTGCACATCCGATCACTGTAATGTCCGATGCATCACTTCTCGCCAGCAATCAAGTAGCACAGAAGATGACATCGTCATCGTTTACGGAAGGGGTGAAAATGCAATGTCTTCAGTCTGAACTAAATGACGTGAAACAATAGGGCCTGAGGTCTGCCGGTTGTAACTCGATGAAGTGCCAGCACTTTATGCATTTTAAGCCTTCGAAATAGAAGATTTAGCCCATGAACGAGCTGGGCGCTGTGCGGGCGCGACAGATCAGTCCATAGATGGCTACAACGCCTTTTCTCCACGACACGATTGCGCGTACGAATACGTCGCCCTATCGCCGCATGATACGCGAGCAATTTACGCGCGTCATGGAGGAATCAGGCTAGACGTGCACATCCTTTTCTTGATTTCAAACGACTATTCGTTTGGGCGAGCGTCCTCTTGGACAATGGATGCGCTGCAAACGATGTCTTAGCCATTTGATGCATTAGGAAGCGAAAGGAAGCGTTCGACGCTAAGTCCGTACCGCGCGGTTATTTGCCACCCACTGAGTTTGCGTGGTCTTGCTTTCTCCTTACAAATCAGCGTGAAATTTATCCTAGCCCAGATGTATGTTTCTCACATTCCTTTCAACGCACATTGTCGACACAACGATGCAACAGATCGCACGCTTTTTCTTGGATTTACGCGTCCTAGTCTCATGCAAGGCCAAGCAATCCCCTCGTTTAGACACCACTCCAATTTACACAACATACGACTATCGGCTGCGCCGCGTGACCTAATCGTCTGACTCAGTTCTTATTCTACGAGGTAGTTTCAGCGATTTCTCTCCCCTCAACCGTCTTCGTCCGGTCGTGTAGTGGGTTAAAACTGGCAATTTTTGTTTGGTCTGCCTAATTCTGTGAATGGGATGCGCACGAGGCGTTTTGAGCCAATCACGTCAAGCTCCATCTGTCCTGAGAAGCGATATACGTCAACATCTTTGAGAGGTGTCGAAATGTCCAATTCAGGCCAACCACGATGTGACGAAGCCGCGTATGCCGAAAACGGCATCGCGCTCGTCAATGTTGCGGACACCTATCAGCAGCATCGGCAGCAGCGCCATGCAGCCCCACGCCATCGACGTGACCAGCCCAGAGACGATCTACCAACGCATCAATAAGAGCGCGAAGGAATCGACTGAGCTGAGCAGCGCCAGCTCGCCAGGCACCAGCTCGCTCAAGCGCTTTGCGTGCCAGTTCGACCCCGGCTCGAAGAATGGGCGCGTGCTGGTGCTGCTCTTTGACCGCGACGGGGACTCGGAGTTTAAGGAAATGAGCAGGCTGGACGTGCTGAGGATGACACGGCAAGCAGCCGTGGAAAAAGAAGAACCGGATAGTGCTGGTGAGGCTTTTAGCGTCACGACTGCCTCGATCCGGCGGCTAGGAAGTATGGGCGCTAAGGGTCGACGCAGCAGCCAAAACGGGATGTACGGAGATTCCGGAGGAGCAGAGCTCAATTACGCTACCGTCTGTGATGTACAGGTGCGTGGATGGGTGCATCATTCGAGGAGCAGACGTGACGATAGAAGGAGGCATGTAGTGATGCGTTTTGTTTGCTGTATGTGCAGCGAGTTCATGCGCGCGATATTCGACGAATGGAGAATGCATTTTCCGTGTCGAACGAGCCGTCGATCATTATTCGAAAGCAAGCGATTCTCATCAGTGCTGGTACGACAAATGATTGCGCAAGAGTCGACGTTGATGGTAGTGCTGATCGTGGGCTGTGACGTTTAGACCCGTTGCGAGCGATTGTGATGCGAGATGTATGTCTTGTTTACGTGCCTGATGGTGCAGATAGCTTGCTATCCATTTTGAAGGAGAAATTTGGTCAAGCTGCCCGAGAGAATGCGGAGGATCCGTACGAATTCAGGTTTGTGCAAACTGGAAACAAAGGTAGTTGACGAGTATCGATGCTTACTGGTGGGTGAATCGTAGGGCACTGGAAGCGCTACTTGCAACACTTGCACGGTACTTTCAAGCAGACTACGAGAAGCTTTCTCCTGTTGTGGTCTCGGCACTGGACCGACTCGTGCAAGGAAATCTCCAGTCACGCGAACTGGAGACGCTGCGCGAGTTCAAAAACACTATGAACGAATTTGAGTCACAAGTGGATGGTGTGCGTCGCGTGCTCATGGAGTTGCTCGACAACGAAGAGGACCTGCGCTTGTTGTACTTGACGAAGCTATACGAGGACCCCTCTCTTCTCACGGACTTGTACAGTTTTGACTCGGAGGAAGCTGAAGTTTTGATTGAAAATTATCTTCAGGACATATTTTCCACGCGCACACAGGCGGATCTGATGCAACACCGCATCACGAACACCGAGAGTTTGGTGATGCTGAAGCTCGACTCGATGCGAAACTACTTGCTTCGAGCAGACCTTGTGTTTTCGCTTGTGACGATCAGTCTCTCGGCGGGTACGCTGCTTGCAGGAGTCTTTGGCATGAATCTTTCATCAGGGGTCGAGGAAGCTTGGGGATGGTTTTGGGGAGTCGCTATATCTTGCGTAGTAGCTTTTGGGGTCATCACTATCACGGGCATGTTATACTTTAGGCAAAAAGGGGTACTGCAGCTTTGAGATACTGCGGTTTTTACCACAATACATTTCTGTTGCTTCAATTTGAATGAATTCTAGAGTTTCATCAGTGCAGTCGTGAGGTTGTTCAAGTGCTCAAATCACTCTACCGACTCGGTTTGGGTTGAAGTCGTCTACGTCTTGTCGAACCTAGCAGCACCAAGACTAAACTGATCCTGGCTGCCCTTCGACAAAATCTCGCCAAGTTTCGTGCCAATAAGATGGTGGTTTGTAATCTTGATATCCCGTTGCTTTCGGGGGCGATTCTTTTTCTTGTCTTCCTTAAGACGACGCTTCAATTGACGGCGGCTAGCATCCACCTTTGACTGCGTTGTCAAACCAGCTTGAACCAGTTTCTTTTCAAATTCGGCACGATCCGATGGCCATGCTCGCAGAGTATCGCGCCACAACTGGCGGATGTCATTCGTGGCGCCTATTGAACATGCGCGACACGATTTAAATACCTCAAGTGCGTAAGAGATTTGTGATGCATTCCGTACCATGCTTCACCATTTGAAATTTTGGACCACGTTTAGGCAAAAGGTCCCAGCGATCGCTGCTGGCCACATTCCGCCTTTTTGCATCGGGGAACGGGACGTCCAAAGGAAGGTGGTCCTTGTCGAACTTGAACATGTACCTGCACAACCATAGGAGCAAAAATTGAGGTCAGTTATCCGCGCTTGGCATGCGAAATAGGTCAAGGGTATGCGGCCCCACGACGGACGAACTTTATCTTCTTCGAAACGTTGAGATCCCGGGTAGATGAAACACTTTTTGTGGCCATTCCTGCAAATGGAACTGGGCGGGTGGTGCTTGAGCTCTACATTGCCACCAAACAGTTTCTGTAAAAGCAGTCATGCAGTCAACTGAGTACTTGGCACCGTACCCTGACTGCTGCTGACACGCGAAACCAGTTATCACCAACACGAAACGCATCGCCACGACGAATTTCGTCCGTGGTATCGTGACTAGAGTGGGTCAAATAACTGCCAGCTTCGACCGTCACGACTCCAGAAAGATCCACAAGGAAAGTCTGTCCGCGCGAGTAGTACACTTCTGCGCCTTTGTCAGCGTTTTTCACGCAAATGATCTCCCCAGTGCGCGTCAACTCTTTCAAATCTTCTTCCACACCCACGTAACAATCGATCAAGTCTTCTATAGGCATCCCCTCGGGAATCTGACAAGGCGCGCACAAGAAATAGACTCAATCAACAACCGTCCGGACTACAACAACGCAATCCAACACATCCGCCCTACTCGGTCAAGAATCTTAAGCAGCTGCATTCGATCCTTGATGTCGTATTTGGCCTATAGAATACAAAAACGTGTACACATATTACAACCAGTCAGTGTGTCAGCGAACAGCTTTCATCAGCGTGCCACTCACTCACCTGATAGGCGTACTGATCTCCTTGCAGACGGACTTTGGGGTTGTTCTTAAGTCGCTGCTCCACTTGGTCATCCATCGAAAGGTCCTAGTGAATGAAGTAGCCAAACCCCGTCACGTCGTCAGCCCCACAAACAATTCCACGTTTAGCGCCAAGTTGTGCTGTCCACGTACGACGCCCGTGTGCTTAAATATGTCAACCACAGACACGGCTTTGTGCATAGGAATTTTGCGCAGATACTCCAGGATCTTGTAAACCTTGGCGCCGTCATTCTTAGGTACAGACGACGCGTCCACTGCCAGAGAAAGAGCGCGACGCACAATTACAACCCCAGATCTGTCAGCAGCCATTCTCGCATTCCCATACGTGCAGAACAAGTACAGACATCCAGCTGACCTTGAGATACCACCGTCTCCTTCACTGACTTGGTCGGGGCCACTGCGGGTGCGGCGTCGGCCACTTGCTGGGACCCGTACGCCAAGTTTCGCCACATTGTTGTAATTGCTCAGTTGTTTTCTGGAAGTGGCTGAAGAAACTGAAGTTTTGGGTGGATCGGGCAGGTACGGGAAGACGAAAATTGGATAGAAATAGAAATCGACGATGGATCCCAATCTCACAAACGCGAGAGAATCTCTGGCGGACCTCGTGCTCGAGTTCCTTGAGGCTGCTGTGCATGAATTTCTGTCCGTTGTTGTCTACGTTCGATTCCTGCATCATCTGGAGCGTGCACAACGCAAAGCTGACTGTTCGTTATGATGCTTTAGGTTCGCGTGGCATGTTTACCCGAAAGGTACGAACGTCACAATCAAACAGTCGAATGTCGTCGTATAGCACTGCTAACCCGTTTTCTTATCGTTTCCTGCCATTGTAGAAGCTTTTGAGCGACGTTTACTGTATAATGTGCCGGTCCATATGAACCGGCACCCACTACTGTGCGAGTACATTCATTCCATGTTGAGTGGCTGTCGCACGTGGCTCATCAACGGAGAACTGGAGAAGTTATGTGTCGTTCTTGTCTCCGAGAGAGGTCAGTCACTAGAGACATTAGCGATTGAGCCAGGATGGGCTACATCGTTTTTTGAATCGGAAGACTTGGATACAGCTCGGCCGCTACCATTACTTCAGCTCGAAGAGTCGTTTCGTGCGGGGATGGTGTCGCTAGTGGCAACTTCAGCAGCGAGTGTAGCTGACCAGATGGCCTGCAACAAGCCACACACGTTCCGAATCTTGGCGCAGACTGTTGAGGACGGTAGCAATTGTGCAACCGTCGTTAACGATGACAACGTCAGCCACTCGTGGGTGCTAGCGGATTTGTTTTGGTACAACGATCAGACGGAAGAAAAGGAAATACTTCCAGTTGGAGCGATACAGTCGGAGATTCTACCTGTCCGGCTCACCGTTTACATAGAAAAGCATTATTCATCTTTGCTGACTGAAGCTAGCGAGTAGGAAGAGACAGGCACTATCGGCACAGCGTGCAGCCAATCTTGTGCATGTTGTTCGTCTCGCCAACCGCGTATATCTTTGTCGCGACCATTCACTATGCGCAAGCGTCTGCATTGCTCAGCTTCTCGGCCGGAAACTGAGGCTTGTGTATACTTGGTGTTTAGTGGCGCCAAGTCATCGACGAGCAAAGGTGGCAAACATGCATGTTCAGCAGCGTGCCATTATTCGTCGCGTCAACAACGGTTGAGTCATGCAAACACTGACTCTGACGATGGGATTGGGACCGAACGAGCGAATAACCTATCGAATATAAACACTGCTGTCGGGCCAATCTTTGTGCACCGGCATAATCACTTGATTCAGTACCGTGGCCATTCCATTCAAGCGTTGGCAAAAATGACAGTCGCCATGTCATCACTCATAATTGAAAAACCCGAAACAAAAAGCACGACTAAAAATGACTCGACTCGGGCTGTCAGACAGCATGCGCTCCACCGCGTCGACGGGCGACACAGGGCCGCTGCACACATGGAAGCCACGTCTGTTCCCACTCCGATGGCACGCGGCAGCATCAACAGAAGATGCCAATACACCACTTGGCGACAACATGACAATGAAAAGGCTCACGTCTTTCGCGCCTTTGAACCCGCGGCGATGCCTTCTCGGCGTCGGTGTGGCCATTATAGTGCTCTTCTCAGACTTTGAGGTGCTCTCCACGTACCTGGGGATCGGAAGAAGCAGCACCTTGCAGGTTGTGGAGCAATTTGATCAATTGGAAAGGAGCATCTCGCTGCTTGCGCGAGACACCGTACAGCTTACGACGACAGCGAACGGGTTCCTCCAGCATTGCAAGGATGCGCACATGGAAGCGGTTTCGATGGCGGAAATGCTACAGGATGCAGCCAACATAAGCTTTGCGGAAGAGGCAAAGGTTCAAACAGAAGAGCACGCACGGGTCCTGCGAGAGGTGCTGCGGTATTACGCGCAGCAGAAACAGAACATCCAGGAGACGAAAAATCGACTGACGGAGATGAAAGCGCGGGTGCCATTTCAAAACATAGTGCGGCCAGTGCATACGGTATGGTACGAAAAAGAGCAAAAGTCGATTGAAAACAGTGTAGAATCGGACGTTGCGAACACAATCGCCTACCATATAGACGAAACTCGGCATCCCGATAGCAGCGACTATCTTCGAATACGGTCGACCAACACACTGGTTTCCACGAACGTGCGAGAAGCAAGCGCTAACCGTCGGACAAGCGTGAAACAGCCGACTTCATATAGACCGGTCTTCTTCTATGTCGCCGTGGCTATTGCTTCTGCCGTATATTTGTGGAACACGATCGTGGATACGGAAAAGAAACGGGTGGAAGATGCTACGTGGTCGTGGTCTCCTATTCCAACTGTTTTGAGCCAAGTGAAGAAGATGGTGGGCGCGCTTGTGGTGAGTGCGTGTGATGTAGCCCGGAGGCAGGTCTTGTCTTATCGCTCGTGATTTTTGTGCTGGTCTGGGTGGGTCGTCCTAGGTCATCGAAGACTTGGGAAAGTTTAGCGACGAGTACGCTCCGCTGGGTTTAATACGGCACGTCGAGGATGTCGAGTGTTGAGTATGGAATCAGCGAAGAAGTGCTGCAAAGCATCGACATGTGGGGTCTTTCGGTTTAGAAGTGCTGTTCTAGAATTAGTATTTTGCAGCATTTTCGTAGGTCGTGGTACCAATCAAAATGGATGTTCTTCGTAATGTTGGTCTTACATGCAGTCTTTGTCACAAATATGCGATCGCTTGTCGCAGAAGTGGTCCTTCATCCTAGTAGAAGTACAATAGCAGGGTGCGACAAAAAGCCTATCAGGGTATCAATAATTTTGAACACGAAGAGATGGCAAAGCTAGAAATGTGATGTTACATATAGCATTCGTAGGACCAGTTTGACCCTGGACCGGAGGTTAGATCGCAATGTGACGTCGACTTTTTATAATTTTGTAGTCCAAATCCGTTATCCATGATTTGGATCGATAAAATGTAACCTGGGTTATAATACTAGGGGAAAAATACGCCAAATCATCACTCTAGAAAAACATGCAATAAAAATACATGAAAAAAATACACCACAAAATGAAAAAAAACGAACAAAGCGCCAAAATGGATAAATATAAATCATCTGATATATATTTACTATACGACCATATATATACTGGCTGAAGTTATGCATAAACATATACGCATATTTGAACCACTCTAATTTTTTAAATCTTCAAGACCCTTCGTTTTGAGTCACCACTCGAAACGCATGAAAGATAATCGGCGTTGACGCTTCAAACGTAGTTCTGAAGAGATCATGTCATTCGATATGTCGGCTCCATTGCTTATAATCCTTTCATGTAATCTATATATTATGGTGATGTCCTTGCATGTGTAAATGCCTAGCTCGTGGTAACGGGATGAAGGAAAAGATGCGACAGCGCCTCTTTAAATGGCGCGTACACAGCTCTATGTTGGATATTAAAGATACAACACAAGTCAGATTCTGATGACGTTTAGACACGCAATAACAGCGCATAATTCCGATCCAGAAGTAAGACTATACCTGCTGATGCTATTGTAGATACCCGTGTAAATATTGGCTGCTCTATTAAGTACCGAAACTACCATTATGGGAGGCATGACCCTAATGGCACTTTATATGGGATATAACAGGCCTTAATGGTCTTCAAAGCTTCTCTATATACCTTAACTTGATACCGATACGCTTTTGAAATCGACGACATCTTATGGAGTCTTATTTTTGCTGTTACCTACATTTAAACTCGTATGTTGCGGGAGAGAATAATCACAAAATTGCTTGTGCGACCCCTAATCTTCATGGCGCCAGGACGGCCGACGATTCGGGGGCTAATCTCTCCGTGTATAAAGTAACATTAAGTTTCAGGACATATCGGTAAAGAATGTTGCATTCTTCTCGGAGACTCAAGTCAATGTCAATCTAGATCGTTCAATGTATGGAACAGGGGGATGGACGAGCAGATATATTCACTCCGTCGCGTTGGAAGTCAGTGATAAACCAGATATGAGGAACCCGAACCCAAACTCGGTATATTCCAACAATCACATATTGATGCCTGATCCCCTTAACTTTGAGTCACTTAAGCCGTATCTCGATCTTGTATCAGATCTATCCAAAGTACACGTCGTATAAAAATAATAAACTAATGTCGTGAGTTATCTGAATGTGCCTGGTCAAACAATGCAGGGGCGTAACTTTCGATACGACGCAAGGCGGTGCTTTTGAAACTTTGATAGGACTGCCTATATTTGCCTGGAAGGAACTCGACACGTGTCTTCGAAAGTTATCGAAACTGCAAAGTGATTAACCGACTGGACATAAAATTACCACTTTACTTTTCCATCTCATAATCTGTTGCAACATTTTTCCTTCTACTTCGATCGTCCCCTTACGCTATATCGTCCACTTCATGAATTCATCCATATGGATCACGACCGCAGATCACGGGCCTTGTTCGCGGATCTCGTAATGTGGTACAGACCCAACGATATAACGAACTTGGGCCCGTTAGAAAAGATCATGAGTCTCCATGACCATGGTCTTTCTTACGAATTTCCAATTTCCAAAATATACCAGTTAATCGCGATCACTTCAACGATCGCGATTGTGACCCATTTAACATGCATCTAATTTCATTCCTTTACGATTCCTTATCCTTTGCTGTTCTCATTCCTCAATAAATACAACGTTTCTAATTAAATCGAAAAACAATTCGCATATAAGACTGTGATTGTAGGCAACACATCGTTGGTAACGGATCGCGATCTCGTCCTAATGTCGCAAATTCTATTATTTTGATCCGTAGATATCACATCATCTCAAAAGGAGTCATCCGGTTGAATCAATCAAATGTCGCATAAATTCAAACGGTAAAAAACGAGTACGACAGTAAACATCATTCATATACCAACTCAATCTTAGCCTGTTGCGCCTGCGATTAAGGTTCATTCGAGGTTCTACTGGATTTACAAGCCAACCGAAGAAAACAGCAAAAGTGTAATTCAGACAGTGAGTGGATATCGTAAATACCAATAAGTAAGTACCAACAAGCGTCTAGAGCAAAATTTGAAAACCGCAAATATCTTATTCTACAAACATGACACAAAGTGATTACTCGCGACGTCAATTGCATCATTGCACTTAACATTGGCATAATTTGGTAATGCGTTCTAATGTAAAAAATATACGTTATTGTGATAAATTCACATTATTTGGTCGATATAACTAAAAACAAAATCATCGAATTGAGATAATGTTTGCTATGAAAAATACGAATTGGGTGACATCACCACTATTTCTCAACACCTGCACCACCGATATAGACAAGTTTTTGTTTTGATTACATCTCGCTTTCAATGTTGTGTTATACCGTCTCCCATAAAAAAAAATACGGCAGTCCAAAGAATCTGTGAAAAGAAACAAGTACAAGTTTTACTTACCAGGTCGTCTTGTAAGTAAATAAATTAGTCATTAAACTTATCGTGTACACCTCCTATTTCTTATTTATTTTATAACAATATGGCGCATTTATTTCAGGATGTGGCGCCTTCTTTATTTTTATAATTACACAAAACTTTAAATGTAGATTATCTGGCACGGACAGTAAATAGACAACATGTATAATCTTCTATTCCTCGTCAGCGATAAAATATTATTTTTGAATTCAATGCTATTAGCGACTTTTTTTTGACAGTCATGATAATGATGAGCCATTTCGATTTACATTCTATATTGTATAAAAAGTACTCAAAAATAATAAATCAAGGGAATTGCTAAATTCACACTCCTTTTTCTTAAATTCACACCCTTCCTTCAAAATCTTATATATACAAGGTACGCAATCGCCGCTGGAAAAAGACGAGTACTTTCTCTGCCACTTGGCTACGCGCGATATCTTGCGCGCTGCTGTAGCTGCTGGCACCGACATAGGCAAAAAGGTCAAAGCCGGGATTGAGTCGGGCGCACATGTGACCGACGAGATTGTCGTCGGTATCAGTAAGGACTCCATCAAGCGCAATTTTGCTTCCTATGAGTCAAATGACCAGACGGATGTAGTGACAGCTCGTGATTTTGGCATCCATTCATTACGTTTAACTTCCAATTACCCATTTTTTGGAGAAAATTTCCACTTAAAAGGAACGGGCAATCAATTACGCGTGAGCTGGTCTGGCGTTGGCGCTCTTTGCCAACCGTTAATACGTTTACGGCACCTCGATCACAAATAAGGTAGAAACGCTTTCCTGCAATCGAACTTTTAATCGTAACAGCATAGCCTTGGCTACGTGCGAACGTCTGCACATTATCCATAAGTTGCTCCCGACTGGCAAACTCAACCTCGGGATGAGGAAGCATGTTATTGCGTGGTGCCCTATCAGTAAGCACTGGAGGAGCTAGAACGCAGGCGTGTTAAGTATCTAATGTATTTCGTACGTATTACTTGCCAATTAATGGTCTAGACTATTATGTAATACCTTTGTTAGAAATCAAATTTTAAAATGAATAGGGATTTTATATATAAGATTTTGAAGGAAGGGTGTGAATTTAAGGAAAAGGGGTGTAAATTTAGCAATTCCCTAAATCAAAAACTATTTCTCCTTTTGAACCACGTAAGAAAAGAAATATTGACCGGAATCAATACATGGCAAATGTTTGGTATTATAATATATACAAGCCGAATTGTAATAGATTTAGATTAAATCGGGTACTCAGCAATAAGATTAGCCCTTCAAGTTGCGCTTGGTGTGGCCATAGTTACCGCATTAGGCGCGTGCTGATGTACCTATTTGACAAGGCTTATATTCCAGCCTCAAACGTAACTTGCCTTTGACTTATTCGGATGACCACGAATTTCTGGCAACGTTTGTGAAGGTTCTTTTTAAAACGCATCGGCTTATCCTTTGCCACACATGGATCATCTTTACGAGGTGTGGTAAGCACGATGGTAGCCTTCGTAATGAGATAGAAAAATCGGAGAAAGACGTGATTTGTTGTCGCTTTTTGACTGATCGTATATGAAATGAGACCATAACTACTTCATGCAGCCAAGTTTTGACGGAGAAGATTCTTACCGATTACTGGTAGGCTCTTTTTTAACTTATCACAAAAGGTTTTGCGTTAATTTGACATCCCGAACACAAGATCATTGAGGAAGCGCGAAATAGAAAGCTGATCAACATAAAAATGCCTGAGTAGTAGGAAGTAGTCCTGTATCGAGTATAGTAGCTTTTCATCTCTATTTTTTTACTATAACATATTATAACGACAATCTGTAGAGAAGTATTATTCGCTTATCACCCATTGCGCGCGTCTTTCAGTAATATGTGGTTAATTTGGTTGGTGACATAGTTTATGTCGACCAAAAAGTGAAGCGATTCCATTAAAAAATACTTATTTGCTATCAATCTATCCATTGCCCATAATAATTGATGAAATT